ACTTGAAAGAAGAGCTTACAATTTAAAAACTTTCACTTGCTTAAAATTATCTGACTTTATATTAGTCATATTTGAGCACCCACTGTATACTCTCCTTTACGATAGATGCAGCAATTCTTTCCTGCCCTCACCTTGACTTTTTCACAGGGATTTCCCACGGCAGTACATAGATTATCATCTCTGAAAATTCTGACAGTAAGCTAACAAGTTAAGCTCGTGAATGAGAAGCAGAGCTCCCTCTTTACCTGCAGAGTACACACGAGGGATTGTTTCCCCCTTATATGCTGTAAATGTTCAAGACATGGTTATTTGTTGTTGATGATGGTAGTAAAAATTCTTGGTATTTGAACCATCATCTCAAAATCAAGGTTTCTAGACAGTGTTAACTGTGATATAGTTAATTAGTTCTTATTACAACAAAGGAACCCATTTAGCGTGCCTAGCCCCTCATTTAGTGCATGCCACCTAATTAGCTCAAGGTTTGAGGGTAAGTTGCTTAGATGACAGCTGTTAAGTGGTGATGCCAACAGGATCAAGTGTAAGAGCTAAATACTCAAGACCTATCAGCATAAAGGTCAGTGATTCTCAACACTGACTTCAGGATAGAATTGCCTGAAAATCTAACTAACTGATCGTCTTGTTGGAAGTGCAGATTCATACAATCAGAGCCAGGGGTAGCAAAACCTGGACAGAAATATTTTTTAAACTTCCCAGGGAGAGTTCCTATTGTGTAGACAAGATTGAGAGACTGGAGAGTGGCTCCTTTTCAGGCAGAAAAAGGAGGATTGAGCCACTGATTTCACCTGCTTTATGGGAAGGTTTGTTTACAGAGGCTCAACATCATATTCTTTTATTCGCTATGAGGTTCTCAAAATGGTTAGAGGACTGGTAGCATCAGCATCTGGGAATTAGAGATGCAAACTTTCAGCCCCCACACTAGACCTACTAAAACTAGAATCCTGAAGATGGAGCACAGAACCCTGTGTTTTAAAGTCTTCCAGTTTATTCCATTAGAAAAAATACCTTAAAGTTTGAGAACCATCATTTTCAGTAAAACCTTGGCTAACAGATATTTGGAGGGCAACATTTAAAGCTATCTTCATTCATTATCCAGTTAGACTTCAGTTAAATTACAAAGTACCTGATCAATCAGATATACATCTTATCTGGATGTAAAAACAGCTTCATCACCAGAATAAAGTAGTTGACTTAGATGACATTTTATTTTTTAAAAAGACTAATTTATTTATTTACTTTAGAGAAAAAAGAGAGAGAGAGAGAGAGAAAACATGAGTCAAGGGGAGGTGCGGAGGGAGAGAGAATCTCAAGCAGACTCCCTGTGGTGTGAGGAACTGGACTCGGTGCTCACACAACCCTGAAATCATGACCTGAACCAAAATCAAGAGTTGGATGCTTAACCGACTGAGCTACTCAGTATAAGAGCCTTCTAAGAATAATGAGTGACATGGCATAAAGGTTCACATCAAAAAATTAATGCTCTTCCAAAGAATATGAAATGAGTATTTCTATTCTTTTGTTATTAAATTCCCCAATGCAAAATGTCTTCAAATTTTGAATATATTTACATAACAAATCACTTCTCTGGTGGTCAAAATTAGACTCAAAGTAAGATTCCCAAGTTATTTCTTTTCTCATCTGAAGAACAAAATTGGTGTTAAAAAGCAAGAAAACATATTTTATTCTCTCCTGATGAGTTAAGTCCTCTAAGAGTTGTAAGGATATTTGGTGTTCTCACTGTTACTACAGCTTGACACCAACTACTTTATTTATCTAAGGAACTATTTTATTTATCTCTCTGGCCTAGGAGTTTCTAGTATTCTTTCATTGTTACTCTCACATTTACTTTTTGACATACACATTTTTTCTACCCATATGTGCTCTCAGCTTTGAATCCCCACACAGTGCATAGAAGCTTCTGTTTTCTATTGCATGTTTCTTTTTGATAAGCTGTGTACCTTTCACTGTTGCACATCATGGGTCTCATCCTATAAAATTTCAGTAATAGGGATCCCTGGGTGGCGCAGCGGTTTGGTTCCTGCCTTTGGCCCAGGGTGCGATCCTGGAGACCCGGGATCGAATCCCACGTCAGGCTCCCGGTGCATGGAGCCTGCTTCTCTCTCTGCCTCTCTCTCTCTCTCTCTCTCTCTCTCTCTCTGTATGACTATCATAAAAAAAATTAAAAAAAAATTCAGTAATAGCTCTCTGTTCATGTGTACTTCCTTGGATTAAAATTGAGACAAATTTTAGCCTGGGATTTTGAATATTCAGATTTAATCATCTGGGTCTAAATACTAAAGAGTTAACTACCAATTAAAATTCTCTTTCTGCATAGGGAATAGAGTCAATGGTATTGTAGTAACATTATATGGTGACAGATGGTAGCTACACTTGAGGTGAGCATAGCATAACATATAGATATATTGAATTGCTATGTTGTACACTTGAAAGTAATGTAATATTGTGCATCAACTATACTCCAAAATTTGTTTTTAATTGTCTTTCTGTTTGTGGAATCACAGAAATACAGGACTAGAAGGAATTTTGATTTTGCATAGTTCTGGAAACTCTTTTATGGTTTTTCTTTTCATTAACAATCATCATTTTACCTAGTAATTACTGAGAAATCTTAAACTTGTCATTTCTGTCTTTGCCTTTCAAACTGTAGCTTAAATACATTTCCCCCTAGCTGCTAATTATCCTATCAGGAGTACATTGTTGGTGATGTAATATGGAATCTGAAAAACCTGAATCACGTTTGTCAACACAAACAACACAGGCCCCTGTTCTCTTTATAGGCCTACTCTTATTTTCCAGAATCTTGACTCTAAAGTGGAATAACACTATTATTATATTCCCATGTCTTTTTAGGTCTTGCTTTGGAAGCAATTTTGTTTTTTTAAGTAGTAGTTCTCAAGCTTTAGGGGTGTATCAGTATAACCTGAAGGGCATGTTGAAACAGATTGCTGCTTCTCTCTTATCATTTCTCCCTATAGTACTCAGAGTGATTGTCTTAAAATATTAAGTAGCTTATATAGGAGTTTTGAACATGGTTACTCCTCTGCTCAAAGGTTTTCAGCATCTTTCTGTTGCTGTCCAGCTAAAATCCACCTCCCCCTGTCCCCTTCCCTCAGTGTGATCTGCCAGCCTTTCTGGCATCATGTCAAGGTTAACTTTCCTTTCTGGTCCTTTTTCACTAAATTCTTCCCCATTGCAGGCCTTACACATCTGCTCAATCACCAGGAATGCTTTTGCATTGATTCTGATTTTGCCAACTTCTGCTCTTTCTTTATGCCCCAGAATAAAAATCACCTTCTCAGAGAGGCTTTCTCTGACCCCTACTCTATCAGGTCTCATTCTACTTCTGGGCTGAGGAACTCTCCTGGTTTTCTTAGAACTGAGTTACTTCTTACAAAATGAGACTTCCAGTGCTAAACCCAGGATAGCCTCAAGCAAACTGGGAAGATTGATCATGCTCCTTGCTCCCCAGTTGCAGATTTTACTTTTTCTTTGCAGCTCCTACATGATTTGTAATTGTATATTTAGTTATGTTTCACTTTTTAAGTGCCTACCATACTTACTAGATTATAACTCCAGAAGGTATCAGGTGATATGTTCTTTAATCTTTTTGTCTCTAGTGTCTAGCACTACACTTAGCTATACTTATAAAGTATCTGCTCAATAATGACTGCTTTTGAAAGAGACACATGTCTTGTTGGTTGCTCTGTTACAAAGGGAATAGAGAATGCTGAAGCATGTTATACAACAACCTATATCCTTTTGTCTCACTTATAAAACACATGTCATCTTATCAGAATGTTTTGAAAATAACTTACTTTCTTCCCTTTGGTCCCTAGACATTGCTAATGTGTTTTAGTTGACTAGAGCCCATAAATTCCACTTATGTATATGGACTATGGATCTTCTCAGCTAAGAAAGCTGCAGTGAAAGAAACACCTATGTCACCAACCATTGGTACACACAGACCTGTATAAATAAATAACAGTTAATAGTAACTATTATTGAGTTTCAGATAAATGCTAAGCTTTGGGTTAAGCACTGTGTATATATTATCTTTTTAAAAATGTCTGTTATGAGATAAATACTTTTTTATTTCCTCATTTGCCCTATGGACACAGGGAGAATAAGCATTATATCCAAAGTCACTTATATATAAAGTGGTTGAGTCAGGGTTCTAACTTAGCTCTCTCTGACTGAAACAAGTCCAAGATTTTTACCTATTCTTTTGACAAAAAAATGATAGAATTTATTTTTTCTTTTTTGGGGAGGACAGAGGGAAAGGGAGAGAGGAAATCTAAAGTAGGCTCCATGCTGAGCATGGAGCCTGACAATGGGCTTGATCTCACAACCCTGAAATCATGACCTGAACTGAAAAAGAGTCAGACATTTACCCAACTGAGTCACCTACGCACCCCGGATTGATTTTTTTTAATTGAAGTACAGTTGACATAAATATTATATTAGTTCCAGGTGTAACATTTGTATATGTTACAAAATTGTCACCACAAAAAATATAGTTACTGTCACCTTACAAATTTATACTATTATTGACTATATTTCCTACGGATTGACTTTTTTCAATAGGTATTTACTTGCCTGGATTAGAGCAAATGATCATCTTGTCTAGGCAAACTGCCTTTTGTAAATTAACTGAATGGAATTATAGAAGTGAGTTATACATATATGTATATAAATATACATATGTATACACATATAAATAGACATATGTGTATATATTTATGTATGTATATTTAAATCATATATACTATGTGCATGTTATGCACATTATCTATCATGTGCCCAATGATATACATTATATGTATTTGCTAGTGTTTTGCTAATACGTAAAAGCTAACATTTATCTAAGGCTTACTATGAGCCAAATTCTAAATTAGTATTGTTAAAAGAGATGTTATCTCATTTAAACATCATACTTTATGAGGTAGTGAGATTTTCATTCTAAAAAAATGGAATGCCTCATGAATTATGTGTCATCTTTGTACAGGGACCTTGCTAACCTTCTTTGGATTGTTCCAATTTTAGTACATCTTTTGCTGAAGTGAGCACAATATTTTCCACTTATTATAGGTGGCAGAACTGAGGTGCAAATAGATGATAGGGAGACTTTTCCTGGGGTCATGTAGTTTATAAATAATTGAGCCAGAACTGGAATACAAGACCATTTGATTCTTTTTTTTTTAAGATTATATTTATTTATTCATGAGAGACCCAGAGAGACAGGCAGAGACATAGGCAGAGGGAGAAGCAGGCTCCATGCAGGGAGCCCGATGTTGGACTTGATCCTGGAACTCCAGGATCATGCTCTGAGCAGAATGCAGACGCTCAACCACTGAGCCACTCAGGCGTCCCAAGACCATTTGATTCTTAAGATACATTTGTCATCTATGTCTTTCTTCTCAAATCTCCAAAGTAACCAGAGATCAAAAACTTTTAGCAATATTTTTCAGGTTTCTTTAACTTATTTCTCTATTATTCAGCACAGTTGGTTATTGGCATTTATAGAATGTTCTTTCTCTTGGGCAGTCCAGGTGGCTCAGCAGTTCAGTGCTGCCTTCAGTCTGGGGTGTGATCCAGGGGACCTAGGATCGAGTCCCATGTTGGGCTCAAAAAGAAAACCAAAATGTTCTTTCTCATGTGAGTTTAGGCACTTGGCAATGTACTTAGTCACTATAGGCCATGTCAGTGTATTAAGTTTTACACTACTACTCTTGTTGGTAAAATCTTGGTGAATGTCTTTGAAAGTGAATTTTCCTTTGAGGAAAAACAATAGAACCTTTCCTCTCCTGGATGTCTGATAGTCATAAAAACTTGACCAATGTAGGAGAAAGCGGTCAGCACTTCAATAAAAATGATATTGAGATGATTGATTGAGAGCCTTCAGGATAATGACCTTATCTTTTGTGTGTCTTATGCTGCAAATGTGTATAGCATTGCCAAATTAATTTTAGTGGATTGATTGAAATGTGCAGTCACCTTATCACTATGTTGTTACCTGAGGCCATACTTTGGCTATGGCCTCTTCTTACCACTTGGTAATTTGTGTAAATTCCTCTAGCTCTAAGATACATTGATTTGCATTTGTTTATGGTTGTGCCTTGTGGATTATGAATCTTTAGAAATGTTGGCGAAACAATTTTTTTTCTGAAAAAGAATAGAAATTTGTGTATTATGTTTTCATTTATTTTGCATATTTTTGTCAGATCAAGAACAACTCTGGGGGAACAAACAAGGGGTGTTGAAAAGGGAGGTGGGTGGGGGGTTGGGGTGACTGGGTGACCGGCACTGAGGGGGCACTTGACGGGATGAGCACTGGGTATTATGCTATATGTTGGCAGATCAAAAATACACACAACTCTAGGATGTAAAAATTATGCGAATGCATTAAGTCAGCTTGCAAATGAACCATTATTCATAGTCTATAGATTTGATCTAATAACATGTTTAAACGTAGACTACCGCCTTTTCATTATTTGATCATTTATGTTTTTCTTTCTGGAGAACTTTACTTATGCAAGACTTGAGTTAGCATGTCTAAAAAATGATGTGAAATAAAGAATTTTGATTATATGCCAACAAACTGTACAACCTAGAAGTGGGTTAAATGTGAGAAATATACGATTTTCCAAAATTGAAGCAGGGAGAAATAGAAAATCTGAACAGAACAATTACAAGTAACAAAACTGATTCAAAAATTAAAAAAAAAAAACTGCCAAAAAACAAAAGCCCAGAATCAGATGTATTTGTAAATGAATTCTACCAGACATTTAAAGAAGAATTAATACTTACTCTCCACAAAGTATTCCAAAAGACAGAAGAGGAAGTAAAGCTTCCAAATACATTCTACCATGCCAGCATTATCAAAAACAGAAAAAGACACCACAATAAATAAAACTACAAGCCAATATTCCTAAGTAATATAGATGCAAAATCCTCAAAAATATATTAGCAAACTACATATAACAATACAAAAATATCATTCACCACAATCAGGTGGAATTTTGTCTAAGGATGCAGGGATGGTTCAATCATCAGACACCACATCAACAAAACCCAGGATGTAAATCATATAATCTCCTCAGTAGATGCAGAAAAACAATTTAAAAACACTCAATATTGGGGCACCTGTGTAGCTCAGTGGTTGAGCATCTGCCTTTTGGCTCAGGTCATGATCCTGGGGTCCTGGGATCAAGTCCCACATTGGGCTCCCCACAGAAGCCTGCTTCTCCCTCTGCCTATGTCTCTGCCTCTCTCTGTGTGACTCTTGTGAATAAAATCTTAAAAATAAATAAAAATAAGAGACTCAATATACATTCACGATAAAAACTCTTTTTTTTAATTTTTTTTTTATTTATGATAGTCACACACAGAGAGAGAGAGGCAGAGACACAGGCAGAGGGAGAAGCAGGCTCCATGCACTGGGAACCTGACGTGGGATCCGATCCCAGGTCTCCAGGATCACGCCCTGGGCCAAAGGCGGACGCCAAACCACTGCGCCACCCAGGGATCCCCCAAAAACTCTTAACAAAATAGAGTTAGAGGGAACATACCTCAACATCACAAAGGCCATACATGAGAAACCCACAGCTAACATCATCCTTAATTGTGAAGACCGGGAGTTTCCCCTCTAAGATCAGGAATAAGACAAGGATGTCTACTTTTGCCACTATTATTCAACACAGTACTCTAAGGCCTAGCCATAGTAATCAGACAAGAGAAAGAAAAGAGCCATGCACATTGGTAAAGAAGAATCCAAACTGTCAGTATTTGCAAATGACAAAATACTATATATAAAAAATCCTAAAGATGCCACCAAAAAACTATTAGAAGAAATAAATTAATTCAGTAAAGTGGCAGGATACAAAACTAATTCCCAGAAGTTGATAGTGTTTGTATATACTAACAACAAAGTCACAGAAAGAGAAACTAAAAAAATTATAGTACTATTTATAATTGCACCAAAATTAATAAAATGCCTAGGAATAAACTTAACTAAGGAGGGGAAACCCTTGTTCCCTGAAAAGTATAAAATACCGATGAAAGAAATTAAACATGACACAAATAAATGTAAAGATATTCTATGCTCATGGATTGGAAAAACAAATATTGTCAAAATGTCCATGTTACCCAAAACAATTTACAGATTTAATCCAGTACATCATAGAAGAACAGATCAGTGACCTGGAGGACAACAATAAAGTTAAAAAGGAGAGACAAAAAATTATAAAATATTAAAATGGACTTGGGGTACTCAGCAACACCATCCAGCATAATAACATTTGCGTTATAGGGATTCCAGAAAAGAAGAGAGAGAAAAGGGGGCAGAAAATGTATTTGAAGAAATAATAGCTGAAAACTTACCAACTCTGGGGAAGGAGACAGACATCCAAATCTAGGAGGCACAGAGAGTCCCCAACAAAATCCACCCAAGGAGGTCCATACCAAGACACATAGTAATTAAGATGGCAAAAAATAATGATAAAGCGAGAACTTTAAAAGCAGCAAGAAAAAAGAAAACAGTCATGTATAAGAGAAACCCTATCAGGTTGTCAGCCAGCCTAGTTTTCAGCAGAAACTTTGTAGTCCAGAATGGAGGGTCATGATAGATTTGAAGTTCTGAAAGGAAAAAATCTGCAGGCAAGAATACTCAATCCAGCAAGACTATCATTCAGGATAGAAAGAGAGAGTTTCCTAGACAAAGTTAAAGGATTTCTTCACTACTAAACCAGTCCTACAAGAAATGTTAAAGAGGGCTCTTCACATAGGAAAGACCATAATCAGGAGTAATAAAAGTAAGAAGCACAAAAACAGTAAAGTATATCTGTAAAAATAAGTCAAGGGATTCACAAAATAAAAGGATATAAAGTATGACACCATATAAGAAAAATGTGGGGTGGGGGAAAGGAGTAAAGAATGGATTTAAACTTAACCATCAACTTAATATAGACTGCTGTATGCATAAGATGTTAGATACAAACCTGATGGTAACCACAAATCAAAAACCAGTGATATATATGCAAAAAATAAAGAGAAAGGAATCAAAATATATCACTAAAGAAAGCCAGCAAACTATGAGAGAAGAGAGCAAGAGAAGAAAGGAAGAGAGAACTACAGAATAATCATAAAACATGTAACAAAATGGCAAGATGTACATACTTATCAATAATTACTTTGAATGTAAGTGGATTAAACTCTCCAATCAAAAGACACAGGGATGGGCAGCCTGGGTGGCTCAGCGGTTTAGCACCACCTTCAGCCCAGGGTGTGATCCTGGAGACCTGGGATCGAGTCCCACATCAGGTTCCCTGCATGGAGCCTGCCTCTCCCTCTGCCTGTATCTCTGCCTCTCTCTCTCTGTGTCTCTCATGAATAAATAAAATCTTAAAAAAAAGATACAGGGATACTGAATGGATAAAAAAGCAAGACCCATCTATATGTGGCCTACAAGAGACTTATTTCAGACCCAAATACATATGCAGATTGAAAGTATAGGGGTGGAAAATTTTCATTTCCCATGAAAATGTAAGCAAAGAGAAAGCCAAGGTAACAATACTTATATTGGATAAAATAGACTTTAAAACAGAGACAAGGAAGGACACTATATAATCATAAAGGAAAGAATCCAACAAGAAGATAAAGAAATAAAATATGTAGAAACTAAAAAAACAAAAAAAAAAACAAAAAAAAATAGATTAATTGAGTGAAACCAGGAGCTGGTTCTTTCAAGATCAAAAATATTGATAAAACTTTAGCCAGACTCATCAAAAGAGATAGAATAAAGAGAAATAGGACTCAAACAAAATCAATTCACACCACAGAAATACAAATTATTATAAGAAAATATTATGAAAAATTATATGCCAACAAATTATACAATCTAGAAGAAATACTTACATTCCTAGAAACACATAACCTCACAAAGCTGAGTTAGGAAGAAATAGAAAAATTTGATAGAGGATTGCTGACAATGAAATTGAATCACTAATTTTAAAACTCAACAAACAAAAGTCCAAGACCACATGGTTTCACAGGTTAATTCTATCAAA